TTTTTTTGCGTTTCGTATTCATCGGCGAAGAGTCAATACGTTGTTTTTATGCTCACGGGTTCAATTATTCTCTTAAAAAATGATTAAATGTTATTCGAAGTTTTTTGTCAAATCGCGAGCAGTTTTGAGTGATTGAAAAACAAAATAAATGAACTGTGAATGCAGTAAAAACCATATAAATAGTTTTATTTATTCCTTTTGTTTTCCATTGTCTTTAATTTTTTTTTCCTTTTTTTCTTTAATTTTTCCTTATGGTACCTATTGCTTTCATATATAAGAAAAACGAGTGGGGCAGTGAAAACACGTGGGGGGGCAAAGCCCCCCCTGCCCCTTAGTTGCTACGGCTCTGTCTTTTGGCCTTTGAGCTGTGGGAGCCAAAATCGAAGTCTTAAACGGATAAAAAAGTTATACAGTAGAACCTCGATTATCCGTCCTCCCATTATCCGTCACCTCTGTTAACCGTCATACATTTTCAAGGTGGAAAAGTTTTTGTTCAGTTCATTTTTCAGTTTATTTCACTTGAACATACGATAAAAGTTGCCAACTAACTTTCATAATCAAAATCAATTGTGTGCCGCTTGTACATTCGCACAATAAGATTTGGAATCAGAGGCATTGCGTTTTCGGTGCACTTCTTGTATATACAAGATTGTCCAATATATTGGACAATGCACCAAATATGTTCTCATATCTACTATATATTTTCTACATCACTTTGTTTCTCATCAAAAACTAATTAGAAAGTATGGAAATTTTGATTATTTTGCCTTATTTTATCAAAATCTCGATTATCCGTCTTTTTCGATTATCCGTCAAGGCTCTGGTCCGGTGCCTGACGGATAATCGAGGTTCTACTGTATACGCCATTGGAAAGGTCTTGAAAAGTAGATGTGGTTTTTGGTATTAAACATCAAAATCGGCCGGCGTTTGGCCAAGATATGGCCGTTTGTAATTTTTGGCCGAAATCTTCAATCAGCCATATCTTGGCCAAAAGCTGGCCGATTTTGATGTTTAATACCAAAAATGATACGTACCCTCCGAGACCTTTCCAACGACGCATAGCATGTTGAAATTGGACAAGCGGTTTGAAATTTGAAAATTTTGGGCCAAATTCATTCATAGGGGTATCCAAACTTATGGCCTGTGGTGTATCTGAAACGAACCATAATTCGTGTCAAGTCACTTAGCGATGTTAAAGTAAGAAAAAAATCACATACTCTCCCATTTCTTGGTGCATCAAAAAAATGTTTCGAAAACGTCCTTTTACGGTAAGTATTTCACAGTCATCATCTTGCAAATCGGCATTCACTTGTTGCAATTCTCGTCCGATTAATTTGGCAAAAATCAACGAGCTTACGATAATAATTGCCATGAGAAATTCAAGAGCGGATAAACAAATAATTCCCATCACGGTAATAAGCAGGAGGTACAAATTTAATAGCACGAATCCGATGACTGTTTTTTCGTCGATGCCAGGTAGGTACATGGGAATTATTGGAATAAGTTCGCCTTCGAAAAAGTATTTATAAATCGGATAGCATGAATACGAATGGGCTTATAACGAATGCACCAATCATTGATTTGAATAGTATATTCGTGAAAGCAGTAAATTTCTCAAAATATTCAGCAAGATCACGTGATTTTGATTTGGTATGAGCCTTGTACAGGACCTGGATCTTGCAAATGGTATAGTGGAAATCTTCGGCATATTTGGAGCTCAATAGCTTGATCAAAGCCTGCAAAAATTGTATGGATTTTTTTGAAAGCAACTACAGAACACACATACACACTACACACCTGTAGGTCCATTAAAAACCAGAGCAATGCAAATATTCGCAATAGGATGTCGTAGTAGAAGGAGGTATAAATCTCGGCGACGAATGTTGTGCTGGCCAAAGCATAAACGAAATGGGTAATCAGATTCGGTTTGAATTCAGCAACGATGAAATCATGTCCCACGAACTGCAAAAGTGGAACCTCCCACTCAAAAATGCATCGGGTGAAACGAGTTTGTGGATCCATTTCAATTGATCTTGAATCAGTGTTCGGGAAATATAGTCAAATCAAATTTAATATCAAAGAAATAAGTATTGTGAATTAGCAGTAATGTCCTTAGAAAAGGCAAGTTTTCCAATAACTTTTATTCCGTATTAAAATTTGTACATACAACTTAAACTTTCGTCCAATTTCTCTTAGTGCACAATTTCAGGTCGAACTTATTCAACTATCGATTGGAAACTAAAGAGGCTTCTTTGGCCATGGTTGAAAGTCAGATTGCAATTAAAAACGATACAAGGTTAGATATGGTATGATTACAATCACAAGTTGGGATATATTATTGGGGAAAACATCTGTTACTGCGCATCCATTGACATGGTCTAGGGAAATGCTGTTCCAAAATCAACTATCAAATCATGAAGTGCAATTTGTCCGGAATCAAGGCTTCTGGCATGAGCAATTTAGTTTGTATGGGCGATTTTCATCGAAGTGAGTCCACGTCGATTAAGCTGAATACACAATTACTACGTTCAACATTCAACTCAATAATTCATTGACAAAAATTACTCTTCGTGCAATTTAAAATCCATTTGCTTGAGCAAAAGAAAAACGGCACTTATTTTCAAAAATCAATATGAAATTGTTCTCGAGGTAACTTTAATGGGGCTGGACTTGGGCCTCAAATGTTCTTTCTGTTGTCAAAATTGCAATGTTAGAAAAAGAGAATAAAAAGAGCCAAATTCAAATTATGTATGATAATGTTCCCTATGAAGATAATACTAATGAAATAAATTCAAGAGCCCGAAAGTATCTGCTTTTCCATTTTATTTCTCAGTGAGTATGTACGATATAGTAGCTCTAAAAAATTGTTTGGAAATGTCAAGTTGTAAATGATTTTGGGCAGATTTTTAATTATCTGTCTTCCTAATTCCGTCATTCTCACCGATTTGTTTGGATTGGAAAAACTTGAAGGTGCATACGGTTTGACACTGTTATTTGAAGGGATCACAAACATTCTGGGTCCAATAATCGTTGGAAATTTGTATGATCAAACACAATCATGCACATGCACATTGAAAAGAATAATGTGTTTTAGTTTCATTCCTGTGATAACTACATATAATTCAATTAAAGTGTTTCCTCACAAATATATCATTTCCATTCGGTTTTCTAATGAGCGTGCACATTGTGGTCTTATAAAAAATCTGAAGATCGTCGTAGTTTGACAACAAAAGTGATTAGATAATCTTTATTTGCAAATAGAATTCAATTCACTCTCATTGTCTCCCAAGTTTGAATTGAAAGGATTGTCTCTCGAATGATTTGTTAAATGCGTATTTATACTTGCTAACATCGCATGACCATGAGTATATCAATTGATTTTTTGTAGATTGAATGAGTACCAGACAATTTCTAGTCGATTTTGTTGTCAACGCTTTGGCGATCTTCATCATATAGCCTGACGTCATTTGTTTTATCTTCAATGGATTAAAATCGCTCAACAACGCTCTCCAATCACATCTATCAAAATTGTCAAATTGACGTAGTTGACAAGAGTCTTTTCAATCTATCAAATATAATCAAGCACGTTTCTGTCAGCTGCAGAACAAAAATTTTTCTGGGTAAATAGTCGTGATTTGAATCCGCTGAAACGAACATTGCTTTTCACAATCAGACAAAGTTTGAACATTGAAATTTCAGAAAAATCATTAATAAATTCAGTGACAATGAAACTCAATAATTCACCACAACTGAAACCTGATGAAAAAACTGAAAGTGGGCATAGAAAGCAAGATGCACAAGACGGCGGATTTGGATGGGTTGTCGTCTTTGGATCATTTTTCATTAATTTTATCGGTAGGTTTTAAGTTTGGAACATGCATTCCGATTCAAATCTCAATGAATATGGAAATTTCTTCATAGCGGCCGGAACATTGTATAGCTTTGGAATCATATACACCCATTTTCTGGATGAATTCAAAGAGAGTAAGGCGTATACATCTTGGATTTTAAGTTTATTGTCTGGATTGAGTGCAGTTTTCGGTATATTTTGATATTCAGTTTCATTCAGCCGTGTTATTCTTTTGATATATTTTTCGATTTCTTACGAAATCAATACATCACACAGGACCGATTACATCATTTTTTGTCATTTCTTATGGGTGTCGCGTGGTAGGAATTGCGGGCGCTGTATTATGTGCCGTTAGTTTTTTTGCCAGTGCATTTGCAAAAAATGTGTTCACTCTCATTGTTACTATCGGTAAGGAAAGCGACATTTCATAGAGAATCTCAATTTGAGATTATAACAAAATTGTCGATAAAGCCAAAATATTTTTTTTTTTCTAATTTATAAAGGCATTTTTGGTGGATTTTCGTTATCGCTGATTTTCATACCAGTAAGCAAATTGGAATGATGTGAACACATTGTTTGTCGAGAAATATCAAATAGTTTTTCAATAAATATATTTGTAGCCTCTTATTTGTGTCACGACGTATTTCGAAAAGCGTCGAGCGTTAGCCACAGGTAATTTATTCTTCAATTGCAATTTGAATTGAAGTTGAAGTTGAACCACACAAAATAATCCTATTTGCTCAATATATTTGTTTCGAAAAAGGAATTGCCGTCTCAGGATCGGGCGCAGGGACTTTTTTAATCGCTCCACTTATCTCATTATTAACTAATGAGTATGGTTGGCGAATAACACTGATGATATTGTCTGGAAAAATGTTGACTTGTGCTCTTTTTGCCGCTTTATTTCGCCCAATAAATTCGTCGAGCCAAGACAATTCCTCACCAGAAGGGTCCGATATATGTTCGTGAAATATTGATTCGATTGCCTAACATGAAATAATTCATAGCTCTTGAAATTCTCTATTGATTTTAGCGCAAAGAAAACAAAGTGAACAGTTTATACGATCGGACGCACTCATACACGCCGGGCTTTCTGTTTGCCGGTATTATGATCTCTTTAAGCGGTGCAACACTTTTCATAATTCCACCATTACAAAGATGTGTTATGAGAAGACAATTACAACACAAAAATGACCACATGGAAAGCAACGGTGCACAACTTTCACATTTTTAGCGTTACATGATTTATATTTTTAATCATAGGGTCAGGTGGAGCGAATCGCCGCACCGAACTTTTCTCGAAAACGGCAATACATATACAAAAAGTTCTAGTGTCATTTTGAAGAGCAATTAATTCCCGATATTTGAGGGGTTTGGAGCGAAAATGTCATACAGAAAAGTTGAAAGGAAAATTTCAAATGAAAAGAGATAGCTATGTAGTTCACTATAGTTTACTATACAGTTTACTATATAGCTATCCCTTTTCCGCTCATTCATCATCGACATTTTTCCGCTCAACTTTTCTTTATTAAATTTTCGCTCTAAATCCCTCATTTGGTTATATAATTCGATATTTTTCATTTGAGTACAGGCTCTGTACAGGCACAAACATGTTTCGCACTAGTGCTGAGTTAATTTTTTAAGTCAACAGAATCGTAGTTTTGACTATTTAAATTTTTTTTTAAACAGTCAGGTCTATTTTGTAGCTCAACAATTGCGCTTTCAATTGGAAATAAACTTGTTCTGAAATCTGTTAATATTTGTGGTTAAATTGAGCTTCAGACAAAATTAGTGACGGTGGGGCGAATCGCCGCACTTCATTTTTGCGTTTTACCGTTAATTGGTCACTCAGAACTCATATCTGTGAATGTGGCAATGTAGATGGACTTTATACCGGTCAATCAAAAGTTTCATATCCCAAAAATATTATTTTTTGACGGAGTTATGTCCAAAACTGGCGTCATCCGAGTCTGCGTTCGCATTTCTTGTGCGCGGCATAACTCAAACAATTGACAAGATAATTAAGATCCGAAAACGGCAGAAGTTTTGGCATGTTGAGGCAAAGCCTCGGATTGATTTTGATTCCATTCTGATATTCCCATGTTGGACTATGAGCCTCAGACTGATGACCCTAAACCGATAATTTACCAATAAATAAACCACTCAGAACTGCTTATAACTCATATCTGTGAATGGAACAATGTAAATGGGCACTATTCCTATCGACAGAAAGTTTCAAATCTCAAAAATACCCAATTTTGACTGATAGACGTTCAAAATTGTTAACATTTAATGGGTACGTTTTATCACTTTTGGGAACTAGTTTTCTTTTTTTTTTATGAGAGTCATGAAACGTTCAAATTGGTTCAAACCAATGGTTGAAATTGTTTATATTCGAATGTCTGAAGATAATTAACTCATAAAATGAACAAATGGCTAGCTTTAAAATGATACTAAACTTTCTGGAATTATTTGCATATTTTTGGAGTTTTGATTGTTGGAAAAAAAGTGCGGCGATTCACCCTAGGGGCTAACCACGGATTTTTTATTGACAAAATCTGTTTTTATCGTCCAATTTTAATGACATCCGTAAAAAATTGAAAAAATCTATATATATTGAATTTTATCGTTCAATATCGATTATAAACGTTTAATGTGCTGACGTCATTACCGATTCAAAAATGCTGGAAGTGGTTTTTGGTGGATCCCCAGGATCGTTTATTACTGCTCCCGGTTCTGGAAGTGGGTCCTCAGGATGGGCCAGGGCATTGTCAAACCCAGTCTGGACCATCCTGAAGATCCACCAAAACCCACTTCCAGAATCGGGAGCAGTTCTGAACGATCCTGAGGATGCACCAAAACCCGCTTCTAGAACAGTATGCATTCGTTAAAGCGAAAAAATTACTGCAAAAATCGACCAAAATGTGATCATATCGGAATTTATTTGTTTAAATGATAAAAAATGTTAAAGTCGGTCATTATTGGTTAGACCCTAGGATTCGCCCCACCTTACCCTATTTAAGAAAAAATAAATCATTTTATGATTCGTGGATTAATAATTTCTAGCAAATGCCATTCTAAATTGAAATAGATACTCTATAATTTTTCTGATACAACGTCAGTGTAACATACTCTACACTCTTACTCACCCATAGATTTTAATGACTATTTTTAAATCGACAAAACTGTGATAATCTTTATTAGAAAATGATGAGAACGACACACGTCAAAACATTGTAGGTTTTCGAAGCTGCAAATATGATAACAAAGTGCAGTTAACGGAATTTGAATGATAGCATAATTATCAGATAACAGAGCTTCTCCTATCTAAACAATCGATATTTTTATTCATATGAAAGTATACTCAACGGACAGTTGCGAATCGAATTTAAATCCGAACACACGTTTTTTGCGATTCAGACCAGAATAAAAATGAAATAAATCCATTCAAGTATTATTGTTGTGATCATGTTTACGTTGTAAATCACTCGAGCTATTGCATATAGGGCCAAATGTTGGCACACGTGGGAATTGTAAATTTGGCTACGTTAGCATAATTTGCAGTGCGTGTGTTGTGTTCGCTAACCGAAATGCAATGTATTAATCAGTCACATTTTAGAATTGCATGCATACACATCATTCACTCTGAATTTTCGGTGCATTTTAATATCGGAAATAATTGAAAAGACCTTGAAACCACATAACTATCTGAAAAAATGAAATCAAACAATTCGTTGCAACTGGAATGCAATGGAAATGACGAACAGGTGAAAAACAAACAAAATGCATTGGACGGTGGATTTGGATGGGTCGTCGTGTTCGCATCGTTTTTCATTTTTTTCATATGTAAGTTGCGATCCAATTTTAGTTTGACAAAAAAATAATTTTTGATCAAAGTGAAAGATACTAATGAAAGGTTCATCATAGCGGTAGGAATTGTTTATTCATTCGGAATTATTTACACTCATTTACTGGATGAATTCAAAGAAAGTAAAGGTTATACATCGTTTGTGATGTCCTTAATGACAGGATTGGCATCATTGACAAGTAAGTTTTTAGACTTGAATGCAACAGTATGGGAGGTAATAACTTTTGCTTTAAGGTTCTTTTTGCAATACACAACAGGTCCCATTTCATCACTTCTCGTACAAAAATACGGATGTAGTGCCACAACAATTTTGGGCGCAGTATTGTGTGCCATTAGTTTTTTTGTCGGAGCGTTTGCGAAAAATGTATTCACACTTATTTTAACAATTGGTAAGAAAATTTTCGGTCGGAATTCCATTTTAACTGCCTTGTTTTGAACAGGGAATGTCTGTACATAGATTTACTCAAATAAATTAAAAATATCAAATAAATTTATCCGATATTGTTCATGCGTTGCGTTGTTGTAATGCATCCCCGTGTGCAAATAATATGACTAACAGTCACTCAGTTGTATGTAACTGTATGTAGTGATACACAACTAAAACTGGCTAAGTTGATTGAAATCATGCGTTTTGTATGGAGACAATCACGTTTAGTTATTCTTTCAGTCAGTCGACTAATTTGGGACATTTTGACTAAGAGTGATTTGTGATTAAAGTTAACTGCAGTTGCTTATTTTGTTCGAGACAATCACTTTTAGTCAGTCAAAAATTTTCCACACGGGTCTGCAGTACAGAGTTCATATTCTCTTCCGGATTGGCCAACTCAAATTTGGTGGTGTTCCGAGCGGAATTCGGCAAAAACAATGCAATTCAGCATCCCAAAGGGATGCGTACTGGGGGACTTCACTTCCAGAATACTTTGGACCGGGTCGGGTCCACCTGCTCCACAAGTTTCACTTCCAGCTCAGCCAATATTTATAAACTCTATTTTTAAATATAAGCCGAAAACAAAACTAGCAAAAACTTCTGAAATATTGCCTGAGCTGGAAGTGAAACTTATGAAGCAGGAGGTATTCTGGAAGTGAAGTCCTCCAATACGCATCCCTTTGGGCTGCTAAATCGCATTATTTTTGCCGAATTCCACTCGGAACACTATAGCCCATTGCGGCCATATCTATATGTTGTAGGCTGAGAGAAGGCTAGATTGACCGATGGACAGAGTCCAATCGGTCTAGTGAGTATGAGAACAATTACTTGATGTGTTTCTTTATTGAATGCAAAAATACGAATGAATAATATTGATGGGTGACCGATCGCTCACAGTTATTTGCTTATTCGGCAACTCTTACAATAGCTTATATTTGTATTGCCCTCTAGTGGACCATGGCCACCACAACACCACCAAATTTGAGTTGGCGAATACGGAAGAGAATATGAACTTTGTATTGCAGATGCGTAACAACAACGCAACGCATGAACAATATCGGATAAATTTACTTGATATTTTTAATTTATTTGAATAAATCTATGTGCAGACATTCCCTGGTTTTGAATAAAAACAAATAGATTGTTCACTTAGGTATTTCAGGCGGATTCGGCTTTGGTCTAATTTTCTTGCCAGTAAGTGGATTGAAATCTTTGTTTTTATATATAGATAACTAATTTTCAATACGAAACTTCCTAGCCTATCGTTATTGTCTCAACATATTTCGAAAAGAAACGATCATTAGCAACAGGTATAGTATCATTCATTTTGCAATTTCGATTTGAATGGGATTCAAACCACTAGACTTCTATCTCATTTCATCATAAAATTACAAACAGGAATATCTCTTGCTGGATCTGGCCTTGGGACATTTGTACTCGTACCATTCGTGAATTTTCTGAGTGAAGAGTATGGTTGGCGCAGAGCACTGATGATACTCGCTGGAATTTTGTTGATTTGTGGCTTACTCGGAATTCTATATCGACCATTATCGTCAACACAAGAAAATCCAAAGCCCGAAAACTTGGACACTTGTTCGTATATTTTCCTTTTTAACTCTGACACACTCAATTCTATTGAATAGTGATTTTAATTTCAATTTTACTTTTTAATCTAATTCTGATTTCTATTCAATTTCAGGTTCAGATATAAGCAAGCAATCAGAATATCAACAAAATGACCATTTGAAATCAATGGACATATCACCACCAACAACTAATTCGAAACCAATATCCAAAAGCTTAGCGAAAATGATGAATCTTAGCCTACTCAAAGATCCGATTTTCATTCTGTTTAATTTGGCGACTCTTTTGACCAGTTTGGGATATTATGTGCCATATTTTTGTTTAGCCGATTTGGTGTCAATAATCGGTGTATCGAGTGAAGATGCAAGCCATTTGCTTTCAATAATTGGAATTGTAAATACGGTGGGTCGTGTTATTTTGGGCTACATATCCGATAGGCCATGTATAAATCGACTTTGGGTGTACAATATTTGTCTCATTATTTGCGGCATTGGTAAGAAAAGAAAAATGATATGATTGAATGAACGATGAGTAATTTTTGTTTGCTTTCAGCGACTGGAATGTCTCTCCTTTGTTTTGACTATGAAACACTCATAGTTTTTGCAATTGTATTTGGGTTTACAAGCGGGGCATACATCACACTGACCTCTGTCATTATAACGGATTTGTTTGGATTAGAGAAACTAGAAGGTGCATACGGTTTGATATTTTTATTTGAAGGAATTGCAAACTTTCTGGGTCCACCAATTGCGGGTTATCTGTTTGATCGCACACACACTTACACGCCTGGTTTCCTGCTTGCCGCTTTTATGATCTCTCTCAGTGGTGCAATACTATTTGCAATGCCATCATTGCAACGATGGGTTATGAGGAGACAGTTACAACAAAAAAATGACAACAGTGATGTTGCATCATGATTTGTTTTATTTTTATATGTTCTTCTTGTATGTGATAATTTTTGCAATAATTTCAATGAGGACTGGCCATGAAAAGTCAATATTAAATGCCCGAGAGACAAATGAATGTTTCAGTGAAATTTCTGTATTCTTTATTCAGTATTTTTTTAACGAGTGCTGTTTGATAAAATCTTCTTTAAAAAAATGTGAACAAGCGTTGAACTGCTTTTAATTAAAGCAAAATTGTTTTTGAAATAGAGAGAAACAATTTTTGCACTTCAGTTTTCATGAAGCATAGTATAGATTAGCATGGTGATGGTATAAATTCGTACGAAAAACTTAACACAAGAGTTTAGATTCAATGGTGAAAAGCCTCCGATGGTGAGCAATTTTGGAGTTTGACAACGTCTTATGAAGAATTTGTAAAAGAATCGCTCTTGAGTGTTAAGCTCATTCCAATTCACATACAAAGCGGATTCGTAGATCTTGTCATGCTGAAATTCGAAAAAGCTTTAAGTTCAGCTCAAAATTTGAAGTATTTCACTTTATAAAAAAAAACAAAAGTACGAACAGTTAGTTGAACGCAGTTGCCAGGCAAGCAAGCGATGATTATTTGGGTCAACAGCAGAAACATCATACAATAATTAGGCACATAATATATCTAAAAAGGCAAAAAATGTGAATTCTTAGAAAATGAAAAGCTTTAAATGACACCAGAAAAAGAGCGAACCAATAGAATGCCATAAAAGCCGATTATTGAGCCGATAGTCGATGTCCCGATTTGTACGAGAACCATTTTGAAGGTAATTTTTTCGATACGTCTCATGTATCTAAAAAGATCGAATGGGAATATTTGATTCGAAAAACTTTTTATTGAGTCTACACACATACTCACCCATTTCTTGATGCATCAAGAAAATGTTAATAAAACGCGCCGCCACGGTATGCACTCCGCAATCATCATCTCGTAAATCGATTTTGATTTGTTCCAAATCGCACGATATTGATTTGGCAAAAATCAGAGAGCTCACAATAATAATTATTATGAGAAATTCGAGAGTACCCATGCAAAGAGTGCCGATTACGGAAATAGACAGCTGATATAAATTTGATAAAACAAAACCAGTGAAGGTGGTTCCATCAATGCCCGGTAGGTAGAGAGGTATCATTGGGATTAGTTTGCCTTCAATAAAACATAAGTAGATCATGTACAAAACGATGACACTGTAATTTTGAATAGGTTTTCGGTGAAATGGGCAAATTTCTCAAAATATTCGGCACGATCGCGTGATTTGGTTTTGGCATGAACTGCATAAAGATCTTGAATGAGACGGGTGCACCAACGAAAATATCGGAATATTTCAATTCACTGAAACCATAAAACATACATCTCTTGCTATATAGTACAGGGCAATTGATTTGATTATCTACACTATAATTCCGAAAGTTCTCGAGGAATATCGCTGAAATTCAAACAGAGTCAAACCTGTTCAAATGTTGAATACGAACTAAAGTAGATAATGTTTGCTATCACTGGAAAAAAAGGGGATAATTGCATCTGCAATCAGTATCGATGCGCGTGTTCATATAATTACAAACATGTTTCAAGGATATTACTTAAGAATAAAACCAGCATACACATGTTCAGAGACCAAGAAAAACATTCATTTGTTGGTTCATTCGATTTAAATGATGAGCAATCATCAGTAAGGTTTCAATCAAGTCATTCAAATAGGATCGATACACGTCATTGATTCGAAGGATTTTGGTTGCGTTTCCATGTTGCGTGCAGAAAAATAATAGTTCTCGTAGTATACATAATCCGGCATCTGTGATGCATTCCCATACCGGTCAAATGAAGATCATTCAGGAAAAATTAATTATCCAAACATTTTTTCTGAAATCCAATTTCACGACATGCGCCATAAGACCCATGATCTGAGCTGGACTTGTATTCGTGTTGAAAGAAAGCAATAATTGCTTTTCAAAAATTAATATTAAATTTTTTACAAGATTTTTTTGGTTAAAACTCTCCAGCCATTTTGGGGTGTTTTAACCCAATTATGGGGAAGTTGATATTTTCACCCCCCGAATAAACAAATGCCCATAACTTGAAAACATGAAAAGTAAAAATAGGTGATAGGTATATATATCCAAGCACCAGTGGGGCACTAATTATGTGTACTATTAGGGTTGCATTTTTCCACCCTTAAATAATCAACCCCATGATTTACTCCCCCACCCCAAGCACCAATTAAGCACTGAATATGTACAAATTTTCAAGGCATTCTGCCCGCAACGACGGGCTGGAGAGTTTTGACCGAAGAAATCGAAACATTGTATGACTAAGATCTTAAAGGGAGAGAAAAAAAACACATCTGAAGGGCAACTTTTGTTATCTTTATTCAACTTTTGTTTTAAATTCAAATTAATAATTCTTCATTTACCCATCGAACGAGTGCTAGGCAAGTGTAACAATAAATAAAATGCAATAAAACTAAAGGTGAAAAAAACGTGAATCAATTTCATTGTTGAATCGTTTAAGAGAAAAATATAAACTTCCTATACTGCAAAGAGAATTTATATCACTCTTATTTGTATATATTTTACTTTAAAATAAAGTAGACCAGTCAGTTCTATTGTAGTATGGTGTAAAGCAACATCGTAATAGTATAAATTCGTCCAAAAATCTTAACGCACGAATTCAAATTTAATGGCGCGAGGCCTCCGATGGTTAGTAGTTTCGGGGTTTGACAACGACTAATGAAAAATTTGTAATAGAACTGCTCTCGAATATGAAGTTCGTTCCAATCCAATTCTAATGCCGAATCATAGATCTGGTCATGCTGAAATTAATGTTATTCATTTCTTTGTATAATAATCAATCGAGGCATTTATTTTCAAACGTATACAAATACGTACAGTTAACTGAACGCAGTTACCGAGCAAGCAAGCGATGAATATTTGAAAAATCAATAGTGCGATGCAGCAGTTTATTGGCATATAATTAACCTAGAAACCAAAATATTACATACAGCAAAAGGGATTTTCTGAATTAAAAAATTATCACAAAAAATGTCTACTCACTGTTAACATGCCATAAAGGCAGGCAATAGCTCCAATAAATGCAGTTCCAATTTGCGTAAAATATGTTCTGAATGTGATCCTTTCTATGCGGTTCATATACCTGAAAAATTCAAATCCAAATTGCTTGCTTCAGTTCTTCTAAATTAGATCACATACTCTCCCATTTCTTGGTGCATCAAAAAAATGTTTCGAAAACGTCCTTTTACGGTAAGTATTTCACAGTCATCATCTTGCAAATCGGCATTCACTTGCTGCAATTCTCGTCCGATTAATTTGGCAAAAATCAACGAGCTTATGATGATGATTGTCATTAGAAACTCAAGGGAGGAAAACCCAACCGTTGCAATCGCACAGCAAAACAATTGATAGAAATTCAATATGACATAGCCAATGGGGGTCGTTTCATCAATAAATGGAAGATAGAGAGGCAATATTGGCATCAGTTCTCCTTTGATAAAATACATATAAAGCGGGTAGATGAAAAAAGTCGATGTAACCGATGCAAATCCAATTATCATAAATTTGAATAAAATCTCGGTGAAGAGAGCGAATTTCTCAAAATATGTAGCAAGGTCACGTGATTTGGTTTTCGCATGAATATTGTACAAGTCCTGAATAAGGCAAATTGTCCAGCGAAAATCATCGGCGTATATCGCATTGCACATCTTGGTCACACCCTGGCGATGGAGATGTCATGCATTTAAGGCTTGTTTTGCGAGAGTTAAGACAAATCTATGCAAACCTGTGTGCCCAACATAATGGAGAGCAAAGCAAATATCTTCTTGATGCTGTCATAATTCATGAACGTATAGATTTCGGCCACGTATGTTGTGATTGCCAATGAATACACCGAGTACGAAATTATGTTCGGTTTGAAATTTTCAGCTGTAAAATCCTGGCCTGCAAATTGAAGAAGAAGCCTTTCCCAGTGATAAATGCACCTTGTAAAACGGATGGACGGATCCATTTCGCTTAATATCTGTTTTAATGAGAATAGGGCCAATAGAAATATTCAATTAGTCATCGGAAATTGAGTATTTTGAAGAGATTTTTGTTGAATTTTTGATTTTTCAAAGTTGACTTAACTTTTATTCAAAAGAAATGCAATGAAGAGATGGATTACTATGGATTTATATGGATTGTTCGCAGAAAATGATGTCGATAAAATAGAACTTTAGAGAAAAACTCAAACTCGTTTAACCATCGGCCAGGAACTAACGAATTTTATTCCTTCAACATAGTCCAAAGTAACGTCCCTTTGGATTTAATAGCTACAAGAGTGTGTGCAAAAGCACGATTTATATAATTACTTTCATTTCTAGGGTAATTGTTCAGAAAAAATACATATGTTATTCAGCTTGCCCAGCAATAAGCTCTAGAAAATATTTTCAATCAAACTGACCAGCAACTAAAAAATACACGTGGCGAAGAACTACGCAATAAATAGGAAAGAATAATCACGAAATGCTTACGAATTCATGATTCGTACACGTATTGGTTTATGATCTCCTGATAGGAAGGCTTAGAATGATTAAATAATTCACAATAATTCCGTTGCTCATGCAACACAAACTGCAATCCTTTGGTCGAATCGAAGGCACCCATATGCTCTCGGTGCGTTGAAACTCAGCCCGCCACTGTGAAAATGCGATATATAATAACAAGCATTAGCGAGAGCAGTGCACCATACTGTACAGCTCTCGCTCCAACTGGTGTATGTTGGAGGCAAGGCGCATAATACGAACTGAGCATAGAAGCGTACAGTACACACCAGTACGCATGGCTACTATGATTGAGTGTTCTCAGTCCTGTGCACACTCAATCGTTATAACCTGCGCGTTTCTGTGTGTTGGCTCTCTACGCTTCTATGCTCAGTTCGTATTATACGCATTGCGGTGTGTATTGGAGCGAGAGCTGTACAATGTGCTGCACTGCTCTCGTCAATGCTTGTTATTATATCTCGCATTTTCACCGCGGCGGACTGAAATTCAACGCACCGAGAGCATATGGGCAGTCACTAGTTTTTAAAAATCAATATGAAATTGCTTGTAGCCTTCGACACGAAGCTTTGGAATGAAAAGTCAGATCACTTGAACTGTTGCAGAAAAAACGATATTGATATTTTACTATGACTTTTCCAAATATGAATTAACACATATGAATCTTAGGTAAAATGAATAGGGTAATGTCTCTATGAGTGGGCCGCCTAAGCACATACGGCTGTAGCTATACTGTGGACTAGAAAAGTTAAGGTTTATATATACCGTTGTTTAGCTTATTGGACTAGCCAACTGGCCATGGTATCAGATCTTTAATATATTTGACCAAAAACAAATTTTTGCAGGTCGGCAAAAAACCTTGTTTTTTGGGGAAAAAATTTTTGTATCCATGAGTGGCCACCTACAAATTTCCTAGATAAATGCCAAAAAATGAAATAAATACCAAATAAATTCAATGTTTGATGAATATTTATTCAATGTAAATAATTTTCAAGTACAAACGTGTACAAAATTATGCTTCTGATTCATCAGAATCGAAGTCATTGTCCGAGT